CGGACCACAAGGAGCAGGACCTTACCAACACTGCCTCCATGACTGGTGCGGACCACAAGGAGCAGGTCCTTACCAACACTGCCTGATAAATTAGACAAATGTGCAACTCTTGGGTATCTTTATTGAGGAAACGTTTCGCCACACAATGGCTTCATCAGTCCATACAAAGGAGAATCTTGAAGAACAGAAGGAGAATGAGGTAATTAGTCCCTCAACCTTGAGTCGGATTGGTCACCAACACTGCCTCCATGACTGGTGCGGACCACAAGGAGCAGGACCTTACCAACACTGCCAGCATGACTGATGAAGCCGCAACAGCAGGACCTTACCAACACTGCCAGCATGACTGATGTAGCCGCAACAGCAGGTCCTTACCAACACTGCCAGCATGACTGATGTAGCCGCAACAGCAGGTCCTTACCAACACTGCCAGCATGACTGATGTAGCCGCAACAACAGGACCTTACTAACACTGCCAGCATGACTGATGTAGCCGCAACAGCAGGACCTTACTAACACTGCCAGCATGACTGATGTAGCCGCAACAGCAGGACCTTACTAACACTGCCAGCATGACTGATGTAGCCGCAACAGCAGGTCCTTACCAACACTGCCAGCATGACTGATGTAGCCGCAACAGCAACAGGTCTTTACCAACACTACCAGCATGATTTATGTAGCCGCAACAACAGGTCCTCACCAACACTGCCAGCATGACTGACGTAGCCGCAACAAGTCCTCACCAACACTGCCAGCATGACTGATGTAGCCGCAACAGGTTACCAACACTGCCAGCATGACTGATATAGCCACAACAACAGGTCCTCACCAACACTGCCAGCATGGCTGATGTAGCCACAACAGGATCTTACCAACACTGCCAGCATGACTGATGTAGCCACAACAACAAGTCCTCACCAACACTGCTAGCATGACTGATGTAGCCACAGCAACAGGTCCTTAGTAACCAACACTGCCAGCATGACTTGTGTGACCCCAACAACAGGTCCTCACCAACACTACCAGCATGACCACAACAACAATCCTTCACCAACAATGCCAGCATGACTTCACCGCAACAGGTCTTCACCAACACTGCCAGAGACCTTGTCACACACACACACACACACACACACACACACACACATATATATATATATATATATATATAGATGTGTGTGTATGTGTGTGTATGTGTGTGTATGTGTGTGTATGTGTGTGTATGTGTGTGTGTGTGTGTGTGTGTTTGTGTGTGTGTGTGTGTGTGTGTGTGTGTGTGTGTGTTTTGTGTTGTAGTATGTATGTATGTATGTAATTATGAGTGCTTAAACCACTAACAAGATGTGAAATATTGACAGTTGTTGTCGGTCACGGTATTTTTTGTTGAACTCGGGAGACTAGTCACAAATTTGAATTTTTTTTTATTTAATTGGGGGGGGGGATGGAGAAAGCACAAAGTCCGTAGGAGTCATATAGCGCCTGAGGAATGAGAGCCATTCAGGTTGGATCCAAGGAAGGGAAGAATAAGTTGTGTGGGTCAGATGAGCCCCTGAGCACCATGAAGACACCTGCCTGCCTGGAGGAGTGAAAACTCATATTTTCAAACTTTTGTCTCGCTTAACACGCAACTCCATCAGAGTTCAACAATGCAGGGTGTTTTGTTTACCGTCATATTCACTGTAAAGTGGTGGACCCGTAAGTCTTAGTGCCTGGGGAATGGGAGGTAATCGAGTCTGATGAAAGGCAGCCATATTGAAGGGACGAGAATACTGGACGCTACATCAAGGCTACTTTAATACTTAACACAGGGAAGCTAATACTCAGTAAATACACACAACTACAAACCTCTGCATATACTGTACTCCTGTTTAAGAACAAAACAAAAGTAAGAGTTATTCATAGCTATGCTGCAAGTTAGTTTCCACCCTATCTTCGTTGGTACCTGCGAGGCGGAAGGGAGGCAGGGGGTTGGTGGCAGGGGAGAGTGCGTAACTAAGAGGGTAGAGGGGTCAGCTGGAAGTGGAGAGAGTAGTTAAATAGTGGGGAGAAGCTTATAAAAGGTAGAAGGGGGTAAGGGAGAGAATTTTGAGTAGGTAGGAGGCAGCTGGAAAGGGTTAAAAGGCAGCTGAGAGGAGAGATAGGTAGCTGAGAGGGGGCTTAGGCAGCTGAAAGAGGGGTTAGAAATCAGTTAAGAAAGGGCGAGAAATTAACAGAGAGGAGTTAAAGGCAGCCAGCCACCCAGGAGAGGGGTAGCTGTGGGAAGGAGATGAGAGGGAAAGTAGAGGAATTAGCAATGTCCTGATATAACAACGCTTATCACAGAATAAGACATGCATGCAACAGCTGGGTATCTTTACTGTCAAAACATGGTATCATTTGGCCTGATCTGTATGCTTCACCAGTCGAATACAGATTTGACTTCAACACTGGAGACAGCAGAAGCAGTGGAGAGGTCAATACGAGTTGATCAGTCCCCTCAACCATGATAAGACTGGGGGACTGACCACCTCAAATCTCTCTCCAAGGCTGGTGGACTGATTAAATCTCTACTACGCTACTACACCTGATACCTCTGTCTTTGACTGAGGAAGCTTACTGTGTAGGCGACACATTTCAACAAAAAAGATACTCGTCAATTTGTCGGTATTTTATACTATTTTCAACATAAGTGTTCAGCTCCACAGCCTCGATTAATAAAAATACCTAAATGTTCCGCACGTGTCTACTTCTTGCTATTGTATACCATAAGAGAACGCCCATCAGTGTATTAATGATATACGATACAATATTCATCAACAACGCTAGCCTCGTATCTACATTTGATTATAAGATTACACATTAATATTAATGTGACCTGCCTGCGTGAATAACGACACTTAAAGTGCTAAATATACAGTATACATAACCAAGGATAGATCACTCCAGATCCGTGGATCAAGAGCCATTCACAGCGTCGAGGCACCCCCGCCCCTTTCATGAAGAGTGGAGGCGCCTCATAAACATCGTACACATGGTGGCCGTTAATTAACGTGTGAAAGTCACGGAACATCCCAGGCCTAACTAGTGTGTGAAGGTCACGGAACATCCCAGGTCTAACTAGCGTGTGAAAGTCACGGAACATCCCAGGCCTAACTAACGTGTGAACGTCACGGAACATCCCAGGCCTAACTAGCGTGTGAGTCACGGAACATCCCAGGCCTAACTAACGTGTGAACGTCACGGAACATCCCAGGCCTAACTAGCGTGTGAGTCACGGAACATCCCAGGCCTAACTAACGTGTGAACGTCACGGAACATCCCAGGCCTAACTAGCGTGTGAGTCACGGAACATCCCAGGCCTAACTAGCATGTTAAGGTCACGGAACATCCCAGGCCTAACTAGCATGTTCAGGTCACGGAACATCTCAGGCCTAACTAGCATGTGGTCACGAAACATCGTAAGGACAACCACTTATACCAAGGCAAGTGGTACTTGAGACACACTTAGAACATATATTTTACGAGGGTTCACCTACAGTGGGGCTGTCAAGCACGTGGTCAATCCGCAGTAGTGAAGCCTTTGTGATAAGAGACTTCAGCTACAGTAGCGCCTTGAATAAGCCCTATTGTGGATGAAGACTATGATACGAGGTTTCAACTACAGTAGTGCCTTGATAAAGCCTTACTGTAGGTGAAGACTATGATACGAGGTTTCAACTACAGTAGTGCCTTGATAAAGCCTTACTGTAGGTGAAGACTATGATACAAGGCTTCAGCTACAATAGTGCCTTGATAAAGCCTTACTGTGGGTGAACGCTATAATACGAGGCTTCAACTACAGTAGTGCCCTGATAAAGCCTTACTGTAGGTGAAGACTATGATACGAATCTTCAACTACAGTAGTGCCTTGATAAAGCCTTACTGTAGGTGAACGCTATGATACGAGGCTTCAACTTGATAAGGCTCCATTGCGCTTAAAATTATTATACGAGTTTTTACCTTTGATAAATTCTGAGTTTTTCTACTTCCGGAGCCCGGTCATGGGCCAGGCTCGTCTGGTGCTTGCCTGGTCAACCAGGCTGTTGCTGTTGGTGGCCCGCAGCCCCATATATCCATCACAGCCTGGTTGATCTGGCCAAAGGCGCTGTACTTACCTAATTATAGTTGCAGGGGTCGAGTCTCAGCTCCTGGCCCTACGCGTCTGCTGACCGCTATTGGGTTCTCTCTCTAAGGCTAAAAGCGTATTTCCTAACATCCCTGCGATTCATCGCGATTCATCTGTGCTTAAACTTTCCGCTGTTCAGACTAGCCTCTCCTCACAGGTCATACCCCTCAGCTCTGGGGCTGTTCTTGTAAACCTTTACACGTTTTCAAGTTCCTTTACGTGCTTTATCGGATGTTGAGTTTCACTTCACAGTGAGGCTTTATCAAGTACCTGATTAACAAAAAAAGTCCCACTGAGGGTGAGCTCTGATATAACAATGGTTTTCCCTTTAAAGTGTTTGAATTCCTAGCTTACTAACCGATCCACATAGTCAAATTCCACCATCACAAGCTGCGATATTGAAGTGTGTCGCCACCACTTAAAAGAGCAACTCTCGCATGCGCAAGACTTTGAAAAGAAAGACAACAGTGTTGCATGTGCTATAACGTCTCTCACCAAAGCTTGGCGGCAGCAGCCATCTCCAACAGGAGAGACGATATCTATCTCACGCGCACACCAGCCTGGGCCGTCAAGACTGCACCACACCCGGTCAAGACCACACTGGTGGGACCAGTTACAAGCACACAGTACCGGCAAAACATTCCCCACCCCAGTAATACAGGGGTACCAGTACCAGCAAACTTATCCCCCCCACCCCACACACACTGAGTAGGAATACATTCATATTGAATAAATTCATAATTATTGAATATTAATTTATATTATTATATTCAGAGGGAGAATGGGATGTATGTAATCAGATTTATTCCAAGGGAAGGGCAGAGCCAATTCCTTGGATCAGCGGAAGGAGGCTTACCTAGGGAATCCTCGTCACAATCCAACCTTGATATACCACTCATCAGTATACCCGTCTCTCCACTGTCATGCATCTTGCATTGATAACCACAACATCGTTAGTAGCGCCTACAATCACCGTGGGTAGCTCTTACGATTGTTGGTTTGATATTTACTATCAATTATTATTATTGGGAAACACTAACCAGTAAGGGATGATATATCACACAAGTGCTCTACATTTCGGCCACGCACGTTAACCTGCATAAATAGCAGTAGTTGTGACACTTTTGGAACACTGACCGCACTGGTCACTCAGCGCTCAGTTTTATCTCTTTATTTATGCACCCCATACCCATCCTGTGGGTGGTAGTCAAAAATATTACAGCAGCACATAATGGGTCCAGGGACTGGGCCGCAAATTTCTGATAGCTAAAGTTGCAATGGTAATGAACTATTTACATGTCTATTATATCTGGTTACAACCGTAATGTCACTAAGCGCTCATTGACACAGACACATTACATACTGTACAACACAATAAAAACATAGATAAAAGTAATAGGCAGGGCTTTGCTGAAGTGGGCCTTGGTGAGAGGCTGAATTATCCAGCACTCATCTTATCTTCTACTGTCTCTATGTGGGTTCGTTTGTGGCAAGTGAATCAAGATAGTATGAGTGGGTAAGATATAGACAGGCTGCTGAAGATGTCGTACAGGTGGTGGTTGAAGCTGTGGATTTATGGGGCAAGCACTTAAATTTACACAGTACAGTACAGTATATGCAGAAAGTTCTCTCTGGAGTGTTTGTACACAGACACTTTTGTACACAAATTTTAGGGATCTGTTTATACACAGATGTACTCTGTATATACAGTATGAGTTTTCTTTGATCCGTGGTTTGCGGCTGACATGTATCTTTACGGCCATCGTGTAGTCGACAGGCTTTAAACCTAACATGAAGAGTAGCATGAATGACCATCGTCCAGTCGACAGTCTAAACGAGAACTTAAGCCCACATGGAGACAGAAACTCCAGCTAGGGGTCAGACCCCCTTGAGCATTATTATTATTATTTAAACACCCTGGCCTACTCCCAGTGAGGTAGGGTGACTCCAAAGAAGAAAAACTTTCACCATCATTCATTCAATCACTGTCTTGCCATAAGCAGACTGACACTAAAGTTCAGATGATCCTCCAAACCGCAACATCTCTGCCCTTCTTTCAGAGTGCAGGCATTGTACTTCCCATCTCCAGGACTCGAGCCAGACCAACTGGTTTTACCTGAATCCCTTTGTTACCTTGCTCACACTCCAACAGCACATCAAATCATTAAAACCACTTGACTGCACTCACTAACATCCTCACACAAGCTTGTTGGATGTCTAAGCCCCTCGCATACAAAATCTCCTTTACTCCTCCCTCCAACCTTTCCTAGGACAGCCCCCACACCTTCCCTCCAACCTTGATTTATATATCCTCCCAGTCATTCTATTTTGCTTCATCCTCACTAAGCGTCCAAACCACCTCAACAACTCCTCCTCAGTCCTCCAAATAATACTTTTGCTAACTCCAAATTCTCTACATAATATTCACACCACACATTGCCTCCAACCTCATCCTACTTTCAGTGCTTAAAACCCATCCTTCACATTCATATAAAAGTGTCATACCACTGTACTCTGGTACATTCCCCTTTTTGCCTCCACAAATAAGGTTTTGCCTTAATATACCACTCACCTTTTTTCCTCAAGTCAATTATAAAGTTCACCTCATCTTTTATAGACCCCTCCACCCCCAAATATTTAAAGACATTCATTTCCTTCATACTCCCTCCCTCCAATATGATATCCAATCATTACCTGGATTTTTTGTTACTCTCGTCATCTTGCTCTTTCCTATGTAAATTTTTAATTTTCTTCTTTTACACACCCTCCCAAATGCATCCACCAATCTTTCCAACTACTCTTCAGAATCTCCCAAAACAACCTTGTCACTAGCAAAAAGCAACTGTGACAACTCCCACTTTATATCACAGTAGATTCGTTATCTTTTAATCCACACCCCCCCCCCCAACACCCTAAGATTCCTTTCTTTTACAACCCCATCTATAAATTTGTTAATTAACCATGGTGACATACATTCTTGTCTAGGACCTACTTTTACTGGAAAATACTCTCCCTCTCCTATATACTTTAAGTGAGCTTTGGTTTCCACATAAAAACTCTTAATTGCTTTAAGTAACCTACAATCATTATATATAACACTAATGTGTTATAAAAAGTAACTAAAAGGCCAGGAACAAAGGACTAATAATCTCTTCTGTATTCAGTTGTTAAAATGTGAAAGAAATTTTTTTTTATAAATTAATAGGAATGTAAATTTTGAACGGTCAGATGAAAAGCAAAAAATATAATCCATGTAAATACCTTTGTAGATCTTCATACAAGAACAGCAGTGAAAGCAATCATGAGTCGAAATATGTAATGCAGTCCAGTACAAGGAACATGGATAAGGCATGCAAAATACATTATACCCATACAGTATAATATGAAGCCAATACAATGTGACTGGAGACCAGCCTTATAATACATCTTATGAATCAGGGACAACAGCCACCGTATTACAGATTTTATGCACCAGGGACCACAGCCATGTTATCACAATATACAGTCTATTAAACCAATTACTGAAAAATTAATTACACAATACAGTGGACCCCCGCATAACGATCACCTCCGAATGTGACCAATCATGTAAGTGTATTTATGTAAGTGCGTTTGTACGTGTATGTTTGGGGGTCTGAAATGGACTAATCTACTTCACAATATTCCTTATGGGAACAAATTCGGTCAGTACTGGCACCTGAACATACTTCTGGAGTGAAAAAATATCGTTAACCGGGGGTCCACTGTACTGTATTCTTTACGAAAAATTATGCACTGGAAGAAAATTCCAATGGATTAATTCACATGAGAGTACATACTGGTATTAAAAGAATGATTTGCCCTACCTTTGCTAAGAGATGAAGTTACATGTACCCTGAGTAAAGAAATTTAGGTTAGCTTAAGTAATGACAAAATAAAATTAGATAAGGTTGTATTTAGCTCAAGTCTCTGTGTCAGCTTTCTCCAAAGCAGAAGGAACATCAGCTCCCTAAAATATAAATCATGTAGCAGGAAAATACTTCTGAAAGTATGGACAAAATCACATTCTCCATGGTGCCATAACCTGGCACATCACAATAACATCAGTACTTCAACAATATTAAGAGTTTCAAGAGTGTACAGTAATGTTACTATAATGCAAAACCAACAAATCAAGAATTTGGAATAAATGAAAGTGTCACATACATGAACCAAACAATGCTTTTTCCAGTGACACTACTTGAATACACCAATAAAAATTGTCTTTAAATGCTACAACTGAGAAGGAAAGTATATTTTCAATGACCTTACAAAGAACCCTTTACCAAAGAAATCATAACATAGTAATGTATCTTAAAAATAAACTTAAGCTCCCAACCCCATGCAGCTAAAGCAGTCTCATTTTCTTCAGGAGTAACTCATTGAAAAAAAAAAGGATAAATAGTAACACAGTATAGTAGGGAATAGGGAATCACTTAAAATATATGACTGCAATTATACAAAAAACAGGTAAGCAATATTTTGTTAGGCAAGATTTTGTTAAAAAATCATCACTCGAGTACACTAAAAATTGTAACCACATAATGCAAATTTTTCAAGGGCAGGGAGGGAAAAAATCACTCAGAAGAATCTTTTATCTGAATGAATCTGAACCATTTCAGGTCAGGTTAGGCTTAACTAAGTTTAAAACTGATTGGCTAAGAAATATTTAGCTATAAGATGCTAGAAGCAAGACTCAAGGCTCAGCACTGCAGCCACCCCTCAAAATCTGGGTAGCAGACATATTACTGTTAAAAGCCAGCTAATCATAAAGGGTTAGTTTGCTGTGAACCATTTTCATTCCTTTCTGACCTCTTTCCATGGTGGGCAGGGAGGGCAGGTAATTTTGGGGAGTTATTTTCTTCCTTTTCCCTGTTGGAGGAAGTCATCAAGATTAAATTAGATCATAATGTGTCAAGTTTGTTTACTCTTACAGTCAGTTTAAAATTTTAGCACTGTATTAAAACAGTGTATGTAGTCATACTGACTTCATGTTTTTTTTTTATATCTCATTCAAACACTGATAGGAGGTAGGACGTCAGCTATCCAGAGTACAGCATTAATGTAGTGGCTATGGTTACTTGAGAAGGTCTTTTATTCTGTGGGGTAATCATGCATTTCAGGCATCATATATCTCACTCTAAATCAACCATTTAACCAAATATCTGAATAGTTACCACAGGTACCGCATGTTGAATAATAATCAGAGACAGATCTATACTGATGAGTTAAGTCCCCCTTCTCTCAATTATAAATTCTCATTTATACGTCAGGAACTCACAATTGAGCTAAGTTATTAATTACTGGCAGATTATAATTGCTAGCCGACAATTCCCATGCTGTGCTGGTATCAGACATGACTACTTAAGTCATACATGATGGAATCCAATTTTGGTCAACGCAGTTTTGAAATGACCATACATCACACTCAAATGGGCAGGTCTGCCTAATCTGTAGAGGTAAACCTATTAAGTACCCACAGTCATGGCCTTCAAATTCTAACCTGCTAAAAACCAAACTATACTATCAATTATGTAAAATATTAATACTACTACAATAACTTCAAGGCTAAAGCCTGCTGTATTTTTCAAACTGTCATTGATGGCTCCATGGAAATGCAAGTGTATATCCTAAAATATAGGTAAAACTTCAATCGGGTATGGTTTCACCAAATGAGACTTCACACCATCCAATTAAAGACTACAGCCTCTCCTCACTAACAACAGAGTTCCGTTCTTAAGACCATGTGGGTAAATGAATTCGTTGCTAAGTGAGGAGCATACTATAATGGTAGTGGGCTTGTGTCTACCATCTTTGATATTGTTTTAATGTCAAGAACTGAACAAGAACTCAACACCTGTTGCCTGTGTTCACCCAGCAGTAAGCAGGTACCTAGGTGTTAGCCAACTTT